GACTGCAAATGCATCCTGTAACGTGAAAGCAGCTGTGTCTTGGGCCCTTGGGTGAGCCACAGCTCAGCTGTTTCCAGATCAGTTGAACATGCAGACTGGGCGTCTTTCTCTTTCACTAGAGGTCTGCAGTTATACTGATCTCAGATGAGTGCAAGTGTCTGCTTTCCGTGTCTAGTCTGCTGTCATAAACCAGGTGCCAAAAAGTTCTTAGAAAAAAACAACTTCCTACTGTTAGAGCCAAACCAGGTGCAGCTGCTATCACATGAACTGATCTGTGTAGGTGGACATTTTTGCCCTTATTAGGAGCTTTTAGATCAAACTTGAAAATGCTTCTAGCAACTTAAGATCAATTTCACACACCATTGTGTTCTCAAGTGTGTCCTTTTTTTGTCACATGAGACAAGCAGGGGAGAGTGAGATTGTTGTAACATGGGGTGAGTTGTAACACCTTTGGATTTGATTTACTTATTTATTTAATAAAAAATGGAATTGTATTTATTTATTTACATGCAGTACTTGACCACCACCCTGACAGTACAAGTTCTACAGCATCTCTGTGTTCAAATATAAATGATATACAGGACAAAACAAGTTTAAGTAAAACAAAAATTGAAATTTTTTTCTGTAATATAATTAGATTTATTTAAATATATTCATATTTAATTTGACAATATTTCTCCAAAATGTTGGCTTAAAATGAATTAAATTATTAGCTTGGAGCACATCTTTCTACTCTTTAGTTACCACAAGCAGTGTCAGTGTCAGCACTTTCATATTTCCCTGCATATGCCACAGATAGTAGCTGCTCAGTGAGATACTTGACCTGATCTTTCATTACAAATGTTAGAGAACATACAGCTAATAAAATGAGATCACTAGGGAACTCATTTATATTTTCAAAGGGTCTGCTAATATCTATGATATGACAAGTCACTGTAGATTCTCAACGGTTGCTGAGATGTCATACAAACTGTAAAAGATATGTAAGTTCAGGGGAGAGAAGAGAAGATGTTTGGTATCACATTCCTGGTTAAAGGTGGGGTAAGCGATTTTTCAAAAACGCTTTAGAAAACTGATTCGGGCCGAGTAGCAAAACAAACTTGTAGCCAATCAGCAGTAAGGGGCGTGTCTCTACTCATGATGTGGAGGAGAGAGCGTTCAGTGCACAGGACGGACATTAGCGAGCCGAGTGACAGAAAGATAGAGATGGCGGATAAAATAACAAAAGAAGAAAATGTCTGTGGAACAAAAGAAGGCTTGAGCCAATAAGGCAAGAAGTAGGACCCGTGTAAATATCGGATCAGCTTTCCAGCGCTGGAGAGAACTCAAGGAGCGGAAGGCCTGCGATCGGATGCCGAGGTTGCTTTGTTTCTTCTCGATAGGTGAGTAACACCGTGTCTGTGCCGCAACAGCTAAAGTCTGTCTAGTACACTGGACGCGACAAAGCGACCATTGAAAATCATTTGAAATTTGTGTCAATACGTCATCAATAGAACGCCGCAGCAGTTTTCTGTCGGGGATCTGTCGTGTCGTGCCGCATCCAGTGTAGACCATAGATATGTATATA